TATCATACGCGCGCTAATGCTAATGGTTCCTGCTTAAGCCTCAAGTCTTCGATAAATTCTCTCCCAGTGGAGAAATAAAATAAATATTGTTACTTGAAATATGAGACTCTAGTGAACAGTGGCTTTGCAGATCACTGCACCTGTTGCTGGAATCCTGCCCCAGTCCTTTTGTTGTATTTTTGAAAACATGTTTATAAATAGGTCAGTTTTATAGTCTTTTATGTTATATGGACCTTAAAACACAAGTTAATCTATTCACCATGCATATACTTGAAGTCTTAAGTTTGATATTTACCTCACAAACTGATTTGTGAAATTATTAACAAATCTATACTTATAAAAGTCAAATACCATCACTCACTGACTCAACTGAGATTGTTAATGTTTGTTAATGTTTACAATGACTGCTCACTGATCACTGTATCTCAAAAACTACTAACGCTAAGAACTCAGGAATTGACATGGAGATTCTAATTAGGCTGTACGTGTGCAATAAAACGTTTTTCAAGAAATTCCATCAGGGCTCTGCCCCAGTGGCCTCTAAAGTTTCCATGTTATCCTTATGGAGAAACGATTTGTGCACCTTATTCATTAACAATTGTTATTCATGAACAGATGAATATTTTTTAATTTTATACCATCAAACAAGGGAACAGCTTGTTGTATTTATTTGATTGAATTGAAATTATTTGCATTTTTTGTGGCTTGAAAATAATTGGTGTTTAGTTTAACTGACTAACACTTTATTTTTGTAATCGTAAAAAGAACTTAAAAATCAACATGTACTCTATTTTTTTATGTTTTTAAGATCTGTTTCTCAGTAACTAAATAACAGAAGGTATTTAATGTGTTCAGAATATTAATGTCAAAGGAACAATCGTTTATCTACATCGATTGCAAATAATCATTTGCAATCGACTTTCACCTAATATTTTAAGGGATGGCATCTGCCTTCTTCTATCACTAGGCTACTTTATGATTATTTATAATGGGTGCTCAAGAGATCAGAAGTGCTTGATAAGTTTAATCACTTCCATCCTTAGGCTAATAAAAATGGCACAATTATGCAATTTCAGATGAGGATGTTGTTTTACAACCCCAGTTCACGTTTTTGACGGATTATGTAAAAACTACTAAGTTTTTAGAAGTTTTCATCGTAAAGAAATACATACGATGGAGCAGCATATTGAGAAAGGACAATTTAAAAAAAAAGTGGATTCCTGCTTGCTTAAAACATCATAGTCAATGTAGACCTGCAACCTTTTAGGCCCTTTAAGGGTTATAAGAACTTCAATAAAACATCGTGCAAGGTTTTTATATAATTTAATGTTACTTTAAGATAAGACATAAAACTTCCCAATATATTTATGGGATATGACAGTACTATTGGATAATAAGGTTTAAGCATGTAAACCAGTAAACCTATGTAAAACAGATACAGCGGGAATAGTTTTCAGGCAAAAATATTATGTAAGTGGTTTCAGAGTGAGCAGTCCGAAGCTCCTGGTAGAAAGACAGTTAATGTTTAAGATGAAGAAGTTCTCTCTTAGTTTAAAGCTTAAGAGGTCACATATAACTTAAATTTTCGTGAACGAAGCCACGACGGGGTAAGCTAGTGCATTTATAGTTTACACAGATTAATGTCTATATTTTTTTAGTACTGCTCCCTAATTGGAAAGATATGTCTAAAATTAAGTTTCAAACACAATGTTGTGTATTGACACAGACTATAGACCTCGAGAACTTAATAATGAAAACGCTAGAAGTAGGCTATTGTGGTAGTAGTGAATACTATTATGTATAGTCAATGTCTAAAGTCATTCCATGTATAAGGGATGTACCTTCATTTTATGAGTTTTTTATAGTTTAATTGAAAACTGAGGATTTGAACAAAGAGTATTTCTGTGTAAACTAATTACACAACTATGCCAAGCGTTTAATGATGTGTAAATATTTTCTCCTAAATATAATTCGTGCTAGCTAGATGAGTACAACCCTCATTAAAGCTTTGTATTTTCACGAATAACAAAGTGCTTGACTGCTTCCACCGAGTACCTCGAGTATTTACACTTTAAGTTGTTTCAAACTTCATTCTCACTTGAGTTACGGATCTTTACTGTTTACGAACCACTGATGTACACTGTACAGCCGACGCGACGTCAGGACTGATGATTCGCTAGTCATATCACACTTATGATTATGATTTATTACACATTGTTCAACCTATAAGTCATTTATTACACACTCGGCAGATGAATTCATATAAAATAATAATATGTCAATAAATGTAATCAAAACTCTGTTCGTAATTAAAGTTAAATTGAATACGTGTTCTATATTTAGATATATGTTTAATTTCGTTGGTTGCCCATTTATATCCCAATGTCCAGTAAACAATAACTTATAACAATAAAGATGGGGAAATAGTCGTGTTTTGATTTATATGAGCCTGGACATGGGTTTAAGAGATCCATAGACAAATTTCTTAACTTTGAAAATATGCTACATTACTCTATCAACTTTTGAATAACAAATTTAACAACCTTTAAAGTTAATTTAGCTTTGTTAAGTTAATCAGGTAAAATCCATGGACACAACATGAATCACCAAAAAATACATGTGACTATATTTGAATATTTTATAAAACTTTCAAACGTAAAGAATATAGTTTATAACGACATGTAAATACACTCAAAGTGGTCCCAGTGAAGGTAAATACTAAAAATAAATACCACACTACCGTTGCCTCTATTTGTGAAGTAGCTACTTGAGTTTTGACTCATGGGAATGCTGAAGCTCCACCTGTGCAGAGCTCTCGCTTTGAACTTTCAATTACGCGGACATAGTTAATTGGCCGAACTGCCCCTTTGTTGACAGTACAGATTAATATTCGAGCACCAGGGGGGGAGTGGTGTGGTTAGGGGGAGGGGGGGGTACTTTGAACACATCCCTGGCACGGAGTGGTGACCACAGTTTCGCAATGACAATATTTTTATTACCGTAGATCTGACTCGTCTCAATTTTTTTTATATGTGATGTTTGTGGATTTTTAATGCATAGCATACCTAAACGTTGCAAACAAAAACAACTTTAGTTTTTAAGCCAACATACTTTCGTTTGCAAAAAAACCCATAAAAGCATTGACCATACACTCTGTGACAAAAATAGCATTGAACATTTTGTCATTACTACATCTTTTTAAACACACGTGGCAAAATAAACCAACTCAAAAGATACAATAATGTACAATATGGCTTTGTATGACATTGTTTTACACAATCCGGCGAGACTGGAGGGAGATACCAGCGACGTAAACACCTCTTACTGTCGTAAACTCCTTCACAACCTTCACGACATTAATTTTACTCTCTTGCACTTTACAAGAATTTAGAAGCGTTTTACATCCAGCAGTTTATAGCGTCTTTCAACTATTAAACAATGCCTAAGATAGGTTTCAGTGTGCTACGAGTTTGTTTTATGTTAACGGTTGGTTGTTTAAATATTCACATGTACATTCGAGTTGAATTCAACTTTTTAGAACCATGTTTATAGCTTAGTGATGTAAAACTTGTGAGGTCTGAACTTTGTAACAATTTTTACTGCCTTAAAAAAATAGTTATCACTACGAAAACTATAAGACATTGTATTATTGTTTCACATAACATGTAAGAAACATTTTCCAAACACCACAACTACCGAGTAAATTAAAGTGTTGTCTTATTATATTATTTTAGTAACTTTCAATAACCTATCAATTAACTTTATAATAAAGTTTCGTTACAAAATGAATACAGTTATGTTTGAGCAATAGAAATATAGTATATTCATATTTCAACATTTGAGTATTTGTGACACTAATTCCACGATAAAGATCCACATCTCATCGTAGCTTTCATTGATGCTATAAGCGGAACTGTTTGTGCTATAACAACATTCAGTGTCATTATCAAACACAATCTCAATCTAATAAATAGATGGTTTCCATATGTAACTAATTTCATCTATTAATTAGACGAGATAAAAAATAATTTGCACTAATGACAATTTGCATTGAATCCGAGTACAGGGGGATCTTTAGAGTAATTTAATCATACAAAAAATCCACTATTTAGTTTCTTTATTAGAATCTACAAGAAAGGATCAAACTAAGGTTAGTTTTTATTGGATAAGTATGCTTTGTCAACAACATTAAATGAATGAGTGAGTATGTTTCATTTCTTTAAAGGCAAAAGAAATCTCTAAAGACGTGACGTCTAGCAATGTCAAAGAAATTCCAGCTATAAAATTGTCTCCTGGGAGGGTCATAAACCTTCAAAGGGCGCGAGAGGGCTACAAGAATAATTTTCTTCGTCAAAGCAGAGCGACTGGGCGGAGTCAGACGATCGTAAACACCTTCTGTGACACTCGTGCATTTGGCCCACGAATTGCCTTCCGTGTTGTTCACTTTACTGGCTCATATCCTTAGTTTATGGGCTCCAAACCTACTGTGGCCATTCTCCGGATTGATTTACACTCCTGAGACCTATATATATGATCTCTTGATGTTCATACTTCATGAGATGTTCACTTCGCACAGCATCCCATTCCCATACGCTATAATCACGTGTTTGAGACATTGTAACGACCCACGGCTGCAACCTATTAAATGATTCAGTAGTTTATTCAATTTTAGAAATCATAATTTGTTGATATTATAACTTAACATGAGGGGTATTGCGTGTTCAAATTTGGAATCGTAGATTCACGGTATTTACGGTATCTTATAGTTTAAAACTTGACACTAATAAGTTTTGTTTGGGTGCTGAATCGATCATAAATAGCTTTAATCACGAAAAAACCTTAATATTTCGTATTTTGAACAATAACGACAATCGTGACTTGGACACAGTCGACATAATGTGTACATTCAGCACTCGGCCGAAGTCCCCTCAACCGAAAACCAACTATGATCCAAGGAGTAGTTTTGCTAATATGATATTGAACAAGATTTGTCCACTAACCTGCTATTTGCAGCATCGCGTTCCTACTTCTGGCCACTCCCGCCGAGTTCTTGGCCAAGCACCAGTAGACTCCCGCGTCGCTCTCCTTGCGACCGTTGATCACCCTCAGGAAGAACAGCGACCCCGCTGGCAGGAACACCCTGTTGGCCGACGGCCTCACTGGCTCGCCATCCTTGTACCACTCTATGGTGGGGCTCGGGTAGCCGTCGGCCTTGCAGTTGAGGGTCGCAGGGTCGTGGCGCGGCACGCTGGTGTCCACGGGGTGTTCAGAGATGCGGGGAGGTCGGTACTCATCCCCTGCAACACCAACACGCGCATTAATACAGTACGTACCATCTCATCACATGAAATAGCTCCTAGGAATACTGGGATAATTTATACCCCCTTTTGAATCTGCAAGACTAATAAATTAAAGGCTAATGTCACATTTAAATAAACCGTAGCCACGGTTAAAACATCTGCGGTTAAAGGTGGAATTATTCAGTCTAACGTCATTCGCAAAGTCAAACCATTATTGTATTAATGTGGCATGCAATATTGTTGGTTTTTGTGCTTGGCTTCCCCTCTTATTGAGCATAAATTATCTAACACGAGAAGGGTTAGACTTTTGAATTGCAGTACTGTACTAACAATTATTAGTAATCACTAACTCCATAAAAATCTATTAACGTCTTTGAGGTGAGGTTGAGAAGTGAATATTCACTTGAGTCGATGGAAGGATGAGAATGAATCGATAACTCTTGTCACTTTGAAGTCACTTGATAAAGCAATCAGCCTCACTCCTCACTCCTCGATGTGACTTGTTTGTTTAGGGGAGACTTGAGTGTGATATTTGCTTCGTCTCGTCAGATCACAAGCACACCGCGCTAGATTTGTGAAGTCAAACCTATTGATAATGGCCTGTTAAAAATATTACTAAATTTTTAAGAAGTCGAGTATTGGTTGGTAAGGATAAGATCAATTCATTCGTGATGCTCACGTAAATACAAGTTGTTTTTTTTATAATGAAAATCGTTCCCCTTTCTGTGTGCAAGTATCCAATAATCGTTTAACTATATCATTAAGTTTTAATGTCCAGAGTCTAACAAGTTCATTGGTAATTTTTTTTTATCTTAGTTTTAAAACTGGAAATCACGTTTACGATGAACATCGTGACATTTTAAAGGAATATATGGAAGTATACGCAACAAACTATCAAGGCAAACTGCAGGCTCCACAACTAAAGCTGCAGCGAGCTGGGAAAGGTCCTTCGTGATGTTTTTAACGGAAATGAAATTTCAAATCCCATTTCCGGGGTGCAAATACGTTAGCTTCCGCTGATGGGGTTCGACGGGAGAGGGATATCAGCACGTCTCTAAACATAATATCGAATTAACATTTAGCAAATCTGGTACGATTTGATTAAGAGGAAAGTAGAAATTATTTACATAAAACTTATGGAAAACATGTAAATATCTTTGAAATTATAATTTGTTTGTGTATTAATACTGAGGTTACTATGAGGTTATTTATATTTATCCTTTACAATGCTCCAAACATACGGTTAAAGTAAGCTTACATGAGAGGACTGTTTGACATACACGAATGCGCAAAGAGAAGTTTTAAATACCAAGTTATTTCAAATATTTGATCAAAATAACAACGAGAATTCTGAAAAAAAAATACGTATTGTTGGATGTGAGGTATTTAATAAATAATATTTCATTCGGGGAAAATATTTACGTCTGATTCTACGATTTTTTTAATACTATTCAATACAGTTTGCTAAAAAAAACTTGAATTACAAATAAAACGTGATAGTTTTGACTAAAATATTACGTTTTAAGATATTTTATTTGTTTTATCTGAGAGCCTTTTTGTAGCATTCAAACATTGTATGGTCCAATCCCGTTTGTTGCTTCCTAATATAGATTGACAAAACGTTCTAAAAATAAGTAAACCCCTAATGTCAGAGACACGTATGTTCAGGATTACATACAATAATACGAGTACAACTGTAATGTCATGTCATTTACTAATAAATCGAAAGTTTATTTTTAAAGAATAAGAAAATACACAAAAGATTAGTTTACTCATGCAATTTACGACATGCAAAATTTACTTCACTTGCACTAAGTGTTCATTGATTGTTTTTAATGAATCCAAATCTTTTTGGGTTATGGTTGAAGTTATCAAAACATTGAAAAAAAGTTTAGTTATAGATTGTGTAAGATTAAAATCAATCTGTGCAGCTTGAAGAGCAACAAGCATGTGCCTGGGATGAACAAGAAAGAAATGCTGGACAGCAAGAAAATTTTAAGACCAACCTGGGATCTCAAATTGTTTTCGAGTGTAAAAAATATTGTTGAGTTTTAATTATACTATATAATACTGTTTTCTGTTTAGAAAGCAAATACAAATTTCCCTAAAATTCGCATTCTGAGTTGTTGATTCTGAAACCTTTTAACTGTTGCAAACGGCACCAAATCAACTAAACTTGTCAACAAGTAACTTAGTCTGTCACACAACACAAACACAAGACTTACACTCTCGACCGTGTCACTCTGAATTTGATTCTTTATTTAGTCACAAGTTTTTCACCATAGTAGTGAGATGATATGTCAATACGGTTGGTATCTTGGTATACAAATTAAACTACAGTTCTATAGTAATGCCAATTATCTACAACACCACGTACAATGGCTTTAAGGATAAACAATCCATTAAACATAGCACGTTCCTCGTCCCTGCATGAAAATGTACACATTTCGCTACAATAAATACATATTTTAATGTTACATGTAAAAATAAAACAAATCTGTTATTATAGGAGTATGTGTTAATTAATTTTGCAACGTTTCTGCTTGATAAGAGCAGTATTATTGAAAATTCCTTTAATACCTTATATCCTTTACACCTCGCTATAAAATCAAAACTCTATTCATTTCGTCATTGTTTACGTTAAGACTATAAACTACCACCAAAAGGTTACTTTTTGAAAGAATGAGATAATTTATAAATATTTGACACTTTAAAGTTAGCAGGAAAGATTACTGTGCTGGTTTTGACCCTGAGGTACTGGAGATGTGAGCGCTTCCCCAATATTTGGCCGCGCGCTTGTTTACTTAAATCCATGTTTCAGGCTGATTATTTACTCAAACGATGTAATTACTAACTCAAACATACACTTCAGTTTCATATCTGTGTAACCATATAAGTTATATCTCAAATACTGATTCATATATATACATATATATATACTGGTTTGTGCTTTAGTTTGTTTATGTTTTAATAACTCGATATATGCTTCATCGTGTAGTATATAGGTCGTACACTAAACGACCCTTCAGTTATAGAATTTACGCAACACGTTATAATAGAATACTTACTTAATCGTGGATTGTTGGTATAGGTCTATTCAAATAGTCACGAAATATCCTACAGCCTTTCTATGTTTTAAATGAAAGACACCATGTTATGTAGTCTTAAAACCACTAAGCATACATAAGGAGACTTAAAGCTCAATAGTGTGCATATTTTTTTAAAATTGTTATCAAACACATTAGTTTTTATCTTTGGATCTATTTACAATGGAGTTTTTATTATTGATCCTACACCGTTTTTTATTATGTTTCTACAAAATTTAATGGAGATCACCAAAATGACATTATCTACTCAAATCCTTTTACAGGTAATTGAGAAATTGCTGTATTAAGTTTAAAAACATGGTTATTTTTGAAAAAAAACTTAAAACAATTATTTGGGAAGCCAATTTTTAGACTTGGAACCTCTTATATGCATCATCACACTTCATTTACTTTGTTCTTACACCAAACAATTTTTGTCACACTTATTACCAATCACCCTGTATTGTATTACAACACTAAGCATTTTTTATGATAAAATATATCATGTGAGTAACTTACACTTGACAGACCTATAAATATTTGTCTGGGTAGCCGATTGATAATAGGATTGCCTTCAAATCTGAAGAAACCCAAATGCCGATTGGCTTTGTGCTATCAATTAAAATGCTAACTACTGAACAGGTCGACGTTAGACAGTAACAAGCCAGGGTTTGGACCGTTCCCTCTCAAAACATTGGTAGCGTTGACCAATTGACCAATAGCATGGATAGACACCGGGAAAAATATAAATAGCCTACTGAAAACCAATTGAATACAAAATGTTTAACTAACTATCGTAGCAAGAATTGTCTTTACAGTAGTATAATTTGAGATGTATTGCCACACTTTTCAATAGCAATGGGGTATCTTGTTTGGTACAAAACAAATCGACAGTGGTCTTCTTGTTTATACATTTTGAGTAATATGGACCTTCATATAGTATATAAAATAATACTAACCGTGTTTATAGCGTACGACGTACGTGTTAGGTGGAACTCGACGGCCAAAGGTATAACTCACGCTGTATATCACTTATACGAGACAACGATAGCGTGAGTACTATATGGGCCATATATTATAGCATTGTTGAGCAGGACTATAGACTCTCGGAAAACCAACACTATTGTAATAGCATGACCGTGTTAAATATTCATTGTGCTTGTAATGAATAAGTACTAATATTCATCATCATTGGCCCTCATGTGTCAATTAATCAATAATGTAATTTACCTCTAGATATTTTATGAAAATTTTAGATTTATTTCCTGTATGGAACATTAAATGATTCACAACCTAGCAGAAATGAGATGACCGTTTCAATATACTGTACAACAGTTATCCCAAGTTGGGGAAAACTGTCTGTTATAAGTTTATCCAAACACTAATTGCAAAGGTATGAATTACATTCTTTGATTTTTATGTCGAGTATATTTTTAATTGTTACAATAATTACAATAAGTTTTATATGTACCCATATAAAATATCGTTTTAGTTAATTAATCTATACATTTAACCATAGATAAAACATACTTGTGTTGCTTAGTCTAAAATAAATAGTAATGGGTTGCTTAGCTACCCAATGAATAATCGGGTTGTCGGGTGGACATGTTTAAAGTATTAACATAAAGGAGTTTTCAAATGTTAACTGTAATATTCCGATGGTAACGGCAAAGGTCATCAGATGTAACGGTCGGATAAACGACGAACTGTTATTTAGACATGCAAACATGCGATAGACATGTTCTCTTTCAGTAACTGATGCGATCTTTGGCATTGCCATAGACATGGAATCTGTTGTACGAGCATTTCTCACTTTTGTTAAACTATATTATACTTCTTACTTCAATCCTAACTTGTTTCAATAAAACTTGCTTGAAGAACGCAATTTCACTTTTTCAGGTACTAAACGTG